GATACACTTTACAAATAAGTGGACATTTTAAATTGTAACTCCCTTATACAACCATTTATAGATTAGGAAATAAAATGAGGAGACCAATTCTGCTATCAAATCCTTAAAGAACTGACAGTCTAGCTGGCACACAGTAGAAAATGCTTATTTTCAGAAATGTCCCCTTAAGCAGCTTCATATATATTTATATATGGAAGAAAGGAAGAAAGGGTAGAAAAGAAAGTAAAAAAGATTTTTAAAAAACTGAAGAAGATAGAAAAGATTAAAAAAAAGAAAAGTTGCCATTCTGTGTCATTTAAGGTTTTCTGCCCAGTGTTAGTGGCTCACCCCTGTAATCCTAAGGATTGAGGTTCAAAGCCAGCCCGGACAGAAAAGTCCAGAAAACTCTTATCTCCAATAAACTACTCAGAAAAAGCCAGAAGTGGCATTGTGGCAAGTGAAAGAGCACTAACCTTGAGCAAAAAGAAGCTGAGGGACAGCATCCAGGCCCTGAGTTCAAGCTCCAGAACCAGCACACACACACACACACACACACACACACACACACACACACACACACACACACACACACACACACGCGCGCAATTCTGTTTCCTGGTTTGTTTACCAATGTCAAAATAAATACATTGGGCTGGAAAAATGGCTCAGTGGTAGAGTGCTTACCTTCCATGCATGATGCCCTGGGTTTGATTCCTCAGCTCCACATAAGCAGAAAAAAGCTGAAAGTGGTGCTTTGGCTCAAGTGGTAGAGCGCTAGGCTTGAGATGAAGAGCTGAAGGGCAGCACCCACGCTCAGAGTTCAGGCCCCACAACCAACAAAAAATTAGTAAATAACTATATGTATATGTATGTATTTATATATATATATATATATGTGAAACCAGAAGTTCAGAAACCATATTAATATTGCTTATTCCACTTCAGTTTAAACATTCAATACCTAAGTGAAAAATATTCTCCTACTAAATAGTAACTATTAACATTCAAATGTAAAAGAATGCATTTCTTTTTAAAAAATATCTTTAAGTGGTTGTACAGAGGAGTTTTATTTCAACATGTTGGTTTATGACAACTTGATCAATGTCACTCCTTTCATAATTCTTCCCATCTCTCCCAGCCCCACCCATCCTCTCAAATCACATTTCTTGTTTTACTTTTATTTTTGGCAGAACTGGAATCAAAAATAGGCACAAGTTCTCTGGTCCCCAGCAAGAATACACTTCTTAAATACTCCTTCCCTTTGGCTTGCACTGTCTGGTATGGACCTTACTGACTGTAGCTAGTTAAAACCAACGTGTGCTCTAAGTGAAAATTACATGTGGGGTTTTAATAATTGAGCACAGATAAAGGATGTTATGTATCTCATCAGTGATTTTTGATTGATCACATATTGAATGATAGTATTTGCATATATTAAGGGAGATATGCATAAAAATTAGACTATTTCTTTTGAATTTTAAGTTTTGCTTCTAAAACTTTTTTTTTGTATAGCTTACATATTACTTCTACCAGACAATAGTGCTTTACTTAGATTTTTACCTTTTAATGGTATTTTTTTTCTTTTTCTTTTTCTTTTTTTTGATTGGTCATGGGCCTTGAACTGCCGGCCTGGGCACTATCCCTCAGCTCTTCAGCTCAAAGCTAGCACTCTACCAGTTGAGCCATAGCACCACTTCTGGTTTTCTGTTGGTGGGCTTTCCTACTCCAGCTGGCTTTAAACTACAATCCTCAGATATCAGCTTCCTAAGTAACCAGAATTACAGGGGTGAGCCACGGGTTCCCAGCAGAATAGAATCTTGAAGCAGGCATATCAGACTCTATTCCAACTACTTCAGATATCATGGGTTTACAATTTACTTTAAAGAGGATTTTTTTTAAAAATAATTTTTACAACTATGATTAACCAAATGGAGAAGATAAAATTAATGTGCACACAAGTAACACACATACTCCTCTAAAATCTTTTCATTTTTCTACACTTTTATCACCACTAGCCTAGACTGAACCACCTCTATATCTTACATGGACTAATACAAGAGCACTTTTTAGAATCGTTACTGTAACGGTGATGTACAGAGGTGACAGTTACATAAGTCAAGTAATGAATACATTTCCTTTTAACAGTGTCGCCCCTTCCCTTGCTCTCACCTAGCTTTTCCCACTCACAAGTAATACAGTTAGTTCATTTTCAACATAGTGTCTAGTGAGTATCACTGCTGCGTAGGTAACATGGTTTCCCTCATTTGTTGTAACTAGAATGTGCCTATAAATCTACAGGTAAACACACTGGATCGTAAAAGACAAAAAAATACACTTGGACATGATAAATTATACAGCACTGTAGACTTCACACAGTGAGACCAAAGAAGGATACTCTTAAGGGAGGATCACAAAGGGGGCTGGGAAGGTGGCTCAGTGGTAGAGCGCTTGCCTTGCATGCATGAGACCATGGATTCGATTCCTCAGCACCACATAAGCAGAAAAAGCCGGAAGTGGCGCTGTGGCTCAAGTGGTAGAGCGCTAGCCTTCAGCTGAAGAGCTGAGGGACAGTGCCCAGACCCAGAGTTTAGGCCCCACAACCAACAAAAAAAAGAAAGAAAGAAAGACAAAAGAGAGAGGATCACAAAGGCTCAATAGCTATGTGCATATGATCATATTAAATGATGTTTGTTGAACTAAACTTCATAAAATAAAATGAGATTCTTTTGTTATTTTTGTTTGTTTTTTCTCTCCTTTGTTGCGGTTTCTATTTTTGTGTCTTTTGTATGTAAGTTTATCTGTTTTGAGGACGGTAAGGGGGGAACAGAGAAGTGGTAGGACAAAGGGTGAACAAATGCAATAGGTATTTAATAGATGCATAAAATCTTCTTTGACACCCACTGTGACTCTCTGCCATTTCAGTCCTTGTTAGTCAGACCTTCTTCTGCTGAAAACTACCCCTATCCCAAAGTTTTCCCCTGTCACATAATCCCTCTCTGTTCATGACGGTAGCAGAGAAAGTGCTAAGAAACGAGCATTTCATGGGCACATTTCTCCACAGCTAGGAGTTGATGTTCACCTATCCCAGCTTTCCACACCTCAATGGGATAACCCAGTGGTACAGGATAAATGCCATTTTTCAGAGTTCCTCAGTAGAAAAAGTTTTAGTCACCTGCAGCTGTGATTCGTTCAATGATCCATATTTGGTTGCTCTTGCCCTGTCCTCTCTTTTCCTCCCTGCTCACCAGACTCCCATGGGTCTTTTGTCAAATAAGCCATTTGCCCTTCCATCCTTGTCCCAGGGTCTGCTCTGGAGGACTCCAGACTAATTAATCTCCTGGTTTCCACTCTCACCCCTCACTGATCCACTGTTCATTTCAAAAGGGAAGCTATCTTTATTTTTATTTAATTATGTTGAGGGACAGGTTCTCACCATAGCTCAGGCAGGCCTCAAACTCTGGATCCTCCTGCCTCAGTCTCCCAAATGTTGGTGTTACAGGTGTAGGCTACCATGCCTGGCTGGGATATCTTTCTTAATTCTTCCTGTTACCATATTATTTCTTGCTTAAAAACCCTCCTGCTCTTAGAATAAAACTCACTGCTCTTAGAATAAAGATCATCCAATACTTCATCTTCAAGTTCTTGATGACAATTCCAGTGGTTGCAGTTCTGCCTGATTCCCTTTGCAATACTCTGAAACGTTCCCATCACTCAGAACTGCTATACCTCAAAAATTTTAAGCTCCAACATCCCACATCTGACCAGTTTTCTATGCTTATGCAAACACTACCTGGCACCAGTGGCTCATGCTTTTAATCCCAGCTACTCAGGAGGCTGACATGTGCAGATAGCAGTCCAAAGCCAGGCTAGGCAAGAAAGTCCATGAAAGTTTCTTTTATCCACCAAAAATTTTACCCATCAAAAGAAAAAATTACCCACCAAAAAAACAGAAGTGGAACTGTGGCTCAAATGATAAAGCACTGGCCTTGAACACAAAAGCACCAAGAAATAGCACCCGGGTCTTGAGTTCAAACCCTAGGACCTACTAAATAAATCACAGCAAAAACAAAAAACTACTTCTCTGCCTGACAGTTCCTCCATCTTTCTGTTTCTTTCCAACTGGCTCTGCATGCTCTCTATTCCACCTGAGCCCCCAACAGCACCACTACTACTATGCTTATCAGCACTCAACTCAGCTAGCCTCCTCTCCTGTAATATTTCCTTGGAAACCATCAGCCTTGAATTTTTTGACAATCTGCTGTTGTTCCTACATTCAGACTGGAAGCAAATGTAACACACTGAACTGCTCAGAATTTAAATTTTACAAAATGAGGTATTCCCCTCTTCCCCAGGAGGATAACCCCACACTAAGTGGTTCCTAATTTCAAACAGACGCTTAGTACCATTCAATAATTTTTATATGCTTTATTACTTTCATAGGAAATTCTATACTTCATCATTTTCCAACATCCTGTGTCTGTTCACTCTCAGGAGATTGCCTTGGGTATGAAATTGCAGGAAAAACCAAATCTATTCAAACACTTAACTCTTTGGCTCCTGCATAATGCCTGTCTTCCTACAGCCACCAATGCTCCAAAACTCAACCATGTCCCAGCTGAGAATGAATCAGAATCTAAGTTTTTTTCATAATTGAGATCTAGGCCCACTTCCCAGCCTCTTCTTCCTCCTGCCTCTCTTCCAGGTATTACTTTATCTTCAGTTCCTGGAATGCTGCTTAGACGTGAACAGTATCCTGAGGCTCAATGTGACAGATCAAATCCAGTAATGTCACTTGCCAGAAGCAAATTAGTCTGTCTCCTTACAAAGCTGAAATCACATTTCCAAATGGATATCATAGCAAGAACTCTGCGGATTAGTACATTTTCTATATTTCATATACCAAAAGACCTGAGGCGGTTAACTTTTCAAAGAAAAGAAGTTTATTTGTTTCTTATTTTTGGAGCTGAAAGCCAAACAGCCTGGGTGTAGCTCTAGTGAAGGCCTCCTGGAGGCCTCAATCCATGGCATATGGCATCATGATGGAAGTCTGTGGAAGAGGCATAGATTCCCTGGTGGGACAGAAAGCAGAAAGCCAGAACATGAGAAGAGGTAAGATTGCTCTTTTATCAAAACGTTTCAGTGAGAAGTGATCCAGATCCCAGAACTACACCAATCCCTCGAAGAGCAGTGCAGGCCCTGGGTGACTCCTACTAAGATCCACTTCATGCTTCTCCATGTCTCAAATTTCCAACTCATGAACTCTGGGAGATACACATTCAAGCCATGTCCAAATTGTAACACCCTGCCAAGGAGAACTCAAACCATAAACTATGGAATGAAGTTATATGCCATAAGCCAAAGATTCCAAGAAATGGAAAAGTCCTATCAAGAGAGCTAGAGTAGACAAGAAGTAGAAAGGAGCCCACCTGCAGGGAAAAGACATGAACCAAACAAGATGCCCTGCGGCATAATGCTCTTCCTCTTGCTCACCAATGACTCATTCCTCTTATTCTAATTTCATCAGATATCAACTCTCGAGAGGTCTTTTTGGATCATCCAACCTAAAGTAGCCACTTGAACATTCATATGTTTCCATATTTTCATATTGTGCCTAGCAGAGTGGACCTAAATGACATTTCTCTTCTTAATGTATTTATTTGGTTATTTGTTGTTTATTGTGTATTTCTCCTCCTCTAAAATGTTAACTCTATGAAAACACAGAATTTCTACCTATGTATTCCAGTTACAAGAATAATACTTCAAATATAGCAAATGTTCAGTAAATACTGGCTATCTGAATTAAATTTCAGGAACACTCTACAGTGTTTTCTAAAGACCCCTAAGTTATTCTAACTTCAGTCAAGGAGAAAGCCATTGAGTTAAGGGCTCCTTCCTATGCCACTTCATCAATTAAAAAAAAAAAGCCAGGCTCACACTTGTAATCCTAGCTATTCAGGAGGCTGAGATCTGAGGATCATGGTTTGAAGCTAGCCCAGACAGGAAGGTCTATGAGACTCTTATATCTAATTAACTACCAGAAAACCACAAGTGATGCTGTGGCTCAAATGGTGGAACATTAGCTTTGAGTGAAAAGGCTCAGGGACACTACCCAGGCCCTGAGTTCAAGCCCCATAACCAACAACAACAGCAACAAAAGCCAGAAAGGTTCACACATGTAATCCTAGCTTCTCATGAGGCTGAGAACTGAGGATTGTTGTTCAAAGCCAGCCCAGGCAACAAAATTCATGAGACACTTATCTCCAATTAACTACCAAGAGCCAAAGTAGAGCTGTGGTTCTCATTGTAGAGTAGCCTTGAGCCCTAGGACCAGCATACAATAAATGAATTAGGACTCCATTCTTTCTCTCCTCTCTCTTTTTTTAAATTTTCTAATTCTATAAGTAGTAGAATTCACAACTAAAATTATATTAGTGGTAGTGTTTAATCATCTCTCTTCAAAATAAACAGGGAGTGGGAATATTACCACCATTAGGTAGCCTAAAGAAATGTTCTAAACTCTCCCTAGATATACATTTAATACTATTTTCATCCTTTAAGTTATTACACCAATAAAATATTAATTTCTGTTGGAAAGTACGCCAACTATGCTTGAGGAATTAAATTCTTTTCTGTGATTTTGGTGCTGCAGATATATTCAGTTCACTTTCACATTTTAAATTAAGTCAATTAGTTTCAAGGCAAGTGCTCATGGCAATAGAATTGTTTTATGTTGTTTGATCCAGTGACAGTATAAAATAAATAGAAATGCAGAAGCAGATTATGGTTGTGAAGAGCCCTTAAACACAATGTTTCTAACGCCCAGAACATGTTCTCCACAAAGTTACTATGTTGTTCCATTCAGGTATCATCTTCTTTAATGACTATAAACACCCAAGGACAATTACTCTGAATTATTTATTTTGTTTTCCCCTATCTCAAACACTAGCATGCAATAGATTATCAATAAGTGTTTCTTGAGTTGCACTGCTCAGATGTTTGTTCCATACTTCTGGTCTGGTATTCTCTGCCACAACTTACATAAGGTCAACATTAGCTATCATTTATTTAATACTTATGGTGTGCCATGTACTGTGCCACACCCTTTCAAATAGCATTTCCTTATCTCTCCACAGGATATGTTGTAGCTGTTCATTTTATATTAACAAAGAAGATATATAGATAGATACAGATAAAATAGATGTAAATTTAGCTTGGATTTATGTCTAGGGCTTGACTTTCTATCCTAGACTGCCTATTATAATCAATATCATGCCCATAGTCAAGACACCAGTATTTATAGTATACACTTTTTTGCCTCAATTTATTTGTTAACTGGTAATAGAATATAGGACACATTCTTCTCTAAGGGTCTTAGGCTCCTTACGCATAGAACAAGAGTTTGGTGAAGTCCTCTTGTAATTTTCTTAACCTCTCTGAGTCTTAGTTTGCTAAGCTTCAGAATTAGCAAATTTGGACCAAATAGTATCTCAAGTTGCATCTGGATCTGTTTATTAAGCTAAATGAAAATCTGGTAAGAAGACCCTTTTAAAATGGAGTGACAAGTTTGGAACTCTTCTTTAACCTACAAAGAACAATTTTTAAGCTGAAGGTCACAACCATAAATGAATTAAGAGCTATACTATAAAGTTATTTCTAATAAGCCTACAGCCTAGCAGTGAAAGCTTAAAAATTCTAAGTCTAACATAGACTAGGCTATCGTTTTTATTCTCAAGCTCTGTTCCAAATAAGCTATATCGTAGTTTTCTTTACTGGCAATAAAGAGATGAAGAGGAGAGTGGGCAGAAAAGAAATCAGGACACTGAGGTCAGCACAGAGTTGGATCTGAAAAAAATTCAGAGATAGATTAGAAAAAGGAAAAAAGGAAATGCAGAGCATATCAGTAATGGTTTCATAAACAAGTGCTCCATTGTCTGGTTTCTTATCACGAGATCATCTATTAGGATACAGAGACCACCGCTGTGTTTCCCTCCCTCCTCAACAATTGTACAAATGAAGATCATTCTGCCTGTGGGTTTTCAGCTTTCCAAACGAATATAAATCTTTGGCCATCACATATTTCACTTTAATATGAAACTCAGTGTTCAAATTTTCCTTTCTGTTTTTCTTTCCAGAAAGATTAAGTACCTCACTTTGGGTTTTTGTTTATTTGTTTGTTTATGTGGTACTGAGGAATCAAACCCAGGGTCTCAGGGCTGTTAGGCAAGCACTCTACCACTAAGCCACATTCTCAGCCCTGGGTTCTACTTTTGTCCATGCTGGATATTTGCCACTTCATTTCTTATGTCCTCATCATCTAGCTATATGGAAATGGAAACCCTAAATTGAAGTAGAATGGGTTCCTAGTAGAATGACCAAATATGAGAAAATCATTTTAATTACTTTTTTATTGTTATTATAGAGGTGATATACAGATGGGTTGTAGTTACATAAGTCAGGTGATAAAATAATTTTTAATCTGTGTTTTAACACATGAATTTAGTTTATTGAACTTAAATGTTTTTGCTACAGAATTTTTAAAGAAGTAATCATCTCTCTGCTCTACCTCTAGGGAAATACATTACACAGAAAAGAAAACTGAGGAAGGCAAAAACACTTCCTGAATTTTTAAATTTAAATAGCATGTTTAAGGTTGTGAAGTAGCATTATTGAGAAGAAAGGTAGCCGAAGTGTCCCTGTTTGTTTGTTGTTTTCTTTTAAAGGCAAAGTGTATCTGATTTTTTTTGTCTCTGAAGCTAAAGAGAAGATTGTTGGTATAGAACCATATTGGCATGCTTACAACCATCTGGCATGAAGACATAGTGCTGAGGTAAGATGCCCTGGCCTGGCAGGTTTCTCCTAGTGCTGTTATCTGAATAGACCCTCTAAGCCTGGTGCAGAATACCTTCCTGCAGTTCCTGTGGAACTGAGGCCCTGCAGTTCAGGGTCTCCAGGTAGAGGTAGGATCTTCATGAAAGTCACTGGTATGAGAAGATATTACATCCAAGCTTCAATATAACCAAGTCTAGCTGGGCATCTGTGGGTCACACCTGTAGTTGTGACTACTCAGGAGGGCAAGATCTGAGAATTGGGGTTTGAAGCCAGCTGGAGCAGCAAAGTCCTAGAGTATAGAGTGCTAGCCAGGACCAGGAAAAAAGAAGAAAAAGAAAGAGGAAAAGAAGGAGAGGAAGGAGAGGGGGAGGAGGAGAAGGCGGGAGGAAGGGAGGAGAGAAGGAGGGAGAGGTGAAGGGGAAAGGAGAGGAAGAAGAAGAAAAAGAGGGGGAGCGGGGAGGGAGAGGGGAAGGAAGAAGAAGAAGAAGAGGGGGAAGAGGAGGAAGAAGCAAAGAGCACTTTCAGAGCATTCAGACTTTTTCAGAAATTCTAGGGGTAATTCAGAATTTAGTGTAAGTGGTTTGGGGAAAAAAAAAGTTTGGCCAACAGATGTTGTTATTGTTATTGTTGTTGTTGGGGGGGGTTGGCAGTGCTGAGATTTGAACTCAGGACTTCATACTTAAAGGCAACTATATTTACCACTGTAGCATACCTCCACCCTCTCTATACTGTTTGTGGTGTGTGTGTGTGTGTGTGTGTGTGTGTGTGTGTGTGTGTGTGTGTGTGTGTGTGTGTTTAATTGGAGATAAATGTCTCACAGATTTTACTGCCCAAGCTGATTTCAAAGAGCAATCCTCAGATCTCATCCTCCTGAGTAGCTTGGATTACAAGCATGCGCCACTGGCACAGAGCTGTCCTGGTTATTTTTGACACAGCCTCTCTATTCTTGTATGAGTGCACACTTGAATGATTAAGCTTCTGACAACAGGCACTGAGAAGGGATTTTATGGGCTTTTATGCCCAAGCTGGCCTCAAACCATCCTCTCAATCTCAGCTTCCTAAATAGTTAAAATTACAGTAATAAACCACAAACACCTAGTTTGGCCTGCAGCTTTAAAGGGATAAAATGAGACTTATTGGTCTTAATATAAAAGAAAAATAGTAAGTCAAAAATTGTCGAGTGTTTATTGTTTACCACAAAAGGAGCTAAGTAGTTTAAAAACAATGACCTCATCTTGTCTTCATAAAAACTCATACAAAGCTGTGTGTTGGTGGCTCATGCCCGAAATCCTAGCTACTCAGGGAGCTGAGATCTAAGGATCACAGTTTGAAGCCAGCCCCATCTAGAAAGTCCATAGGAGGAGCTGGTGCTGTGGCTCAAAGTGGTAAAGGGCTAGCTTTGAGCAAAAGAGCTCGCTCAGGACAGTACCCAGAGTCTGAGTTCAAGCCCCTCGACCTACAAAAAAAAAAAACAAAAAACCCGAAAGTCCATAGGACTCATATCCAATTAACAAGCAAAAAGCAAGAAGTGAAGCTGTAGCTTAAATGGTAAAGTATCAGCCTTGAATGGAAAAGCTAAGAAACAGAACCCAGGTCCTGAGTTCAAACTCTAGGATCAGTATCCCTCCCCCCCCCCCCCCCCCCGCAAAAAAAACCCATAAACAAAGAGAACACCAGAAAAAGACTCTTAATTCCAATTACACATCAAAAAGCTAGAATTGGAGCAGTGGCTTATGTGGTAGGGCACTAGCTTTGCACAAAAAGCTCAGGGACAGTGCCCAGGCCCTGAGTTCAAACCTCATGACAGACACACACAAAAGAAATAAAACATAAAAAAGAGTTATGTCTAAGGCCACAAAGCTAGTAAGTGATAGAAAAAGGATCTAAACTCTGGACTGTATATGACAATACCTAAGCTATGTCCCATTCATTTATGCTCAAATACTTCAGAACTATCTTTAAAATGTTTAAGAATGAGGAATTCTCCTGGCTTGAGCAATAAATCAAAGTCATTAGGAGACAATAGCATATTCAGAACCACTATCAACACTGAACAGAAAAGCTTTACTTTTATTTTGTTCAAGTCTTACATGATTTTCATATGTGTTTCTAGAACTCAGCCACACAATGAAAAACTAAAACTCTGCTAAAATTCAGTTTCTTATATGTATGCCCAAAGAGATTCTCATACCCACACAGAACACAGACACACAGTACCACATGTAAACCATCCCACAGATGAACACAAAACTACAGACACAAGCTGGGTGCCAGTGGCTCGTGCCTGTAATCCTAGCTATTCAAAAGGCTGAAATCTGAGGATAGCAGTTGAAAGCCAGCCCAAGGAGGAAAATCCATGAGACTTTTATCTCCAATTAACCACCAGAAAACCAGGAGTGGTGCTGTGGCTCAAAGTAGAGCATTAGTCTTGAGCGAAAAATCTCAGGGATAGTACTCAAGCCCTGAGTTCAAGCCCTACAACAGATTATAAAAAACCTATAGGGGCTGGGAAGGTGGCTCAGTGGTAGAGTGCTTGCCTTGCATGCAGGAGGCCCTGGGTTCGATTCCTCAGCACCACATAAGCAAAAAGAAAAAAAGCCGGAAGTGGTGCTGTACTTCAAGTGGTAGAGTGCTAACCTTGAGCTGAAGAGCAGAGGGACAGTGCCCAGGCCCAGAGTTCAGGCCCCACGACCGAACCCCCCACCCCCCCGCCAAAAAAAAACCTATGGATGCACACATAAATACCACATATAACACAGAGAGATTTCATGCACACACACACACACACACAGACTGCAAACAAATACAGAGAACTTCAAATATATGTTCTATGAGAGACTATTTACCCATCTGCTTACATAAAAATATATTACAAAAAGCCAGGCACTGGTGGCTCACATTTATAATCATAGCTGCTTAGGAAGCTGAGATCTGAGGATCACAGTTCAAAGCTAGCCTGGGCAGGAAAGACCTTGAGACTCTTTATCTCCTATTAACTACCATAAAAAACCAGAAATAGTTCTGTGACACAAAGTGGTAGAGCACTAGCCTTGAACAAAAGAGCTCAGAGAAAGTGCACAGGCCCTGAGTTCAAACCATGACCGACAAAATTTTGCAAATACACAGAGACCACAGATTTACACACACACACACACACACACACACACACACACACACACACACACACACACACACACACACGGAAATTCTCCAGGGACTTTGTTTCTCTTTGCTACTCAATTTCAAATATCTACCCAATTTCACTATATACCATCTCATTCATATCTGTCCTGCAGCTGCTGCCTTTTTAGCTCCATTTCACTCCATTCAAAATAAGGAACTCAAATATTTTCCTTTGATTCCCTAGAACAACCATGAAACATGTAACAGGTAAAGGTTAATAGGAAGAAGGGACATGACACCATATCCAAGTACAACAAATGAATTAAAACTGAGTATAGTAGACCAGGTGGCTGAGATCTGAGGATCATGGTTCGAAGCCAACCTAGGCAGGAAAGTCTGTGAGACTCTTACCTTTACTAAAACTACAAAAGAAAAAAGAAAAAGAAAGCCAGAAGTAGCACTGTGGCTCAAGTAGTAGAATGTCAGCCTTGAGGATCAAAGCTCAGGGACAGCACTCAGGCACAATGTTCAAGCCCCAGGACCAGCAAAAAAAAAAAAAAAAAACTAACCAAAAACAAAAACAAAAAACTGAGTAATAACTATTTCCATTTTTGTGTCATTTCTGCTTCTCAGAATATCTCAATAAGTCTTTCTTTTCTTCAGGCTTTCTACCTTGCCTGCTAGATTTTTTTTCCCTGGGCCTCCTCCACCAAAACCAACCTCATTTCTCCTCCTTCTTCCTCAAGGTCCTAGGACCTTCACCCAGCCTTTCTCACATTACGGCTCTGTACCTCACCACTGCCTATCCACTCAACATCCTTTAGGCTTTCCTTTTGATTCCAAAACAAACTAGTAAGATACTTTCCTGTAGACAGAACTACCTTTGAACTTCAGAGAAGAGATCTGAATTTTCCATAGAAGACAGAATCAACTTAAAGCAGTTGTGGTTTTAAGTAGCAATTATTCCTTTTCTCTTTATATTCTTAGAATGATCTGCTTAGTAAAAGAAAAATGCACATCATTAGTAACTTCCATTACTTTATCCAATTTATCAAAAATCAATTTGTTGATATGACTGTTATAATAGCTATCTTCCAAAACATTCTCAGGTTTATAGTTTCAATACTATAGGAACCATTATCCAAGAAATTGGATGTTTTAGGTACTTTGATATTTAGATACTCTGTTTGTGGTTTATTACTGAAAATACTCCATATGAATTACTAATTTCCAAGAAATAATATAAAACAATAGTATGACTCCTCACCAGCTAGAATGCTGACAATATAGAAGATGTTGATGAGTAAAAGAAAGTTAACTCTTTTAGTCTTTACTTCCTCTTGTGTTTAAAGATTTGCCTCATAGACTTTCTGAGGAAGGAAAAAAAAGAGTTTTTGTAGAAAGCTCTTGGCATATAATACATTTTGAATAATGTGAGTTCCTTGAATTCTCTTCCTTTTCTTTCTTCCCTAATTAAGAAAGAACTGATTATCTCCTACAATAAACATTTCCTTTCTGTTGTTAATTTTCAAAGTGCCTCACAATCCTGTAGTGGCCTATGGCTCCTATATGAGAATCATGTCTGAGTGTCTGTGCTAAGTATTAGAATATTAAATAATAGTATTTACTATATTAACTTAGAAGGGGAATCTAATTATAGCATCTCATGTGTAGCAATTGCTATTATTTTTGTTACAGAAGTATTTTCATTAGCAATATTTTGACCATTAATATTTTAGTCACATAAAGCTGATTATAAATTACCTTATTCAAGGAAATGTGCACACTGAGTATGGTGGTACATCCCTGCAATCCCAGCACTCAGAAAGCTAAAGCCAAATGATCACAAGTTTGAGACCAGTCTGGACTACATAACAAAACCATGTTTTATTTTTTTAAAAAATGAGGTGTGGAGATGTAGTTCAGTGATAGACTGCTTACCCAAAATGCAAAAAGCCCTGGGTTTGATCCCAGCAGTGCATCAAAAAAGAGGGAGGGTGAATATGATTGAAATACTTTATATGAATATTTAGAAATATAATGTTGAAGCCCTAATTAATATATGTTAATAAAAATGATTTTAAAAGAAGGTTTAAACTTCTGGTTAATATTCAAATAGATGATTTTTTACCAATCTAAGTTAATTATTCAACAATTGTCAAAATGTCTTTGTTTCCTTTCACGTTTATTTTATTTCATCTATAATATTACTACTCTTCATGTTCAGGTTAATCTGATCTTAAATCTTCATACAACATAAAGTATAGATCTTAAAAAGATATTTGTTGTGTTACAGAAATACCATTTTGCTACTGTTAAAGTACTGTCATTTACATTATTACTATGCAAAGATTGCTATTTTAATTTCTACATTTAATCTTTCCTATTGCTTTGCTATTGATGCTATTGTTCCCCCCATAGATAATTATGGACTGACCACCTCTGTTGATAACCTGATCAATGTCTCTACTTCAATAAGAAACAGCACTTACAATTCAACCTCTGCTTCAAAATTAATCCTTGCTCTTCCTTTATTCCTGTCATTTATAATCGGTACCACCACCAATAACATCTATCTGTGAGTCCTAAAATTCAAGATGAAAAAGGCCATCAATACTTTTATTTTTTTTCATTTTATTCTTTCATATTTTATTTCAACATTTATCCTACAATGTATGGCCACATCTTATCTCCAGAAAACTCACTAGAGCTTTGGAACTATTTTGTGCAAGGTCTTCAATGGTACTTTGTGGAGATTTTTGCCTCTGTTTTCTTCCTCAGCCATCAGTCTTGATCCATATCTTCTCACTGCTCATCCAGTACAATCCAAGCAGCAAAGAACCCTACACTTGGATTCCAGCATTGTCTTAGGCATCTAGATTTCTTGCACTGTACTCAGCACACCCTATTTGGCTTTCCAGGAGACACATCATGACTATAAAAACGGGTGACCTGCGAATAACTCTGCTGTGTCTACTCACTAGGACAGCAAGAGACGCAAACATGAAGGCAATAGATTCACGTAGCCTATTTCATCAGCTGTTTCCTGCTTGACTTCCTTCTGCCTTTTCTTATCATCATCTTCTGTTACAAAAGAGTAGCCAGTAAGAGGAAGGAGAAGGGCCTGCAAACCCTTCCAAGTCATGATGATTGTCATTATCTCTTTCTTTGTGTTCTGGATGACTTACTATGTATACCAGGGCTTAATTCTCAGGAGGAACCAGTTGCTACTTTTACAGTTGACTATAATACTTAACATGTTGACTGTTTCTTTCAATACTGTCTTTTCTTCTACACTCTATTATTGGATAGAATCTCAAAAAGGGTTTTGAAAAGTCCATTCTTGCTCTGCTTGAGTCAACATTCAGTGACGACTCTCCTGCAGAAAGGACACAGAACCTAAATTCAGAAGCTGAAATTTAAATTCTGAATCCTTAAACAAATACAGATTCTTGTCTACCACTAGAGCTATAATCTCTGCTTTTGCATTCTATACTCACTGTATTAGAGAACATCTAGGCTGTACTATAGTTAGATCTATGAGTATTAAAACCATACAAAGCAATAGGTTATGTTGCAAATGTGATTTTATACCACTTTTGTAATTGTGGTAAAATCTATGTAGCATAAAATTTGCCATATTCATACATGTAAGTGTGCATTTCATTGGTATTCATGTTGAGCAAGTTGTGAAATCAGAATCACTGTTATCTCCCAAATTCTCATTAATATATATAAAGAGCTTTGTACTCATTAAATATTAACTATCATTCCTTAATTTTCCATTCTATCAACCCCTGCCCCTAGTAACCTCCAGTCTGCCTTGTCTCCAAGATTTTCCTATTCTAGATTATATCCCAAAGTGAAATCATACAATATTTGTTCTTTTGCATCTAACTTATTACACTTAGCCTAAGGCTTGCAAAGGTCATCTATGTAAACATGTCACATAATTTCACTCTTTTTATGTCTAAACTATATTCTAACATATATAGATAGTATACTTTTTTAATCCATTCATCTGCTAATGGACATGAGCTATTTCTATCTTTTGATTATTATGAATAAACATTAATCAAACATAAACATTTGTGGCAAGTATCTACTTTTGTTCATGAGTATGTGTTTGTGTGCGTGTGTGTGTGTGTGTGTGTGTGTGTGTGTGTGTGTGCGCACACTATTTCTGGAACTTGAACTCAGGACCTAGGAGCTGTCCCTGAGTTTCTTTTGCTCTAAGTTATCCCTCTACCCCTTGAGCCAGAGCTCCACTTCTGTGTTTGTTTGTTTGTTTGTTTAAGGGGCTTAGTTTATTGGAAATAAAAGTCTCACAGACTTTTCTTCCCAGGCTGGCTTTGAACCTCAATCCTCAGATCTTAGCTTTCTGAATAGCTAAGATTATTCGTGTGAGCCATGGGTGCCTTGCTCTTATTTTTATTTAGTTCAGGTATATACTTGAGAGGAATCACTGAGTCAAATGGTACTTATATGTTCAACTTTTGGAGGAACCATCAAACTTTCAATTTGCATCACATCACATTCTTACCAGCAATGTGCAAAGGTTTTGATTTCTCCACATCTTCACCAACACTGGTTATTTTCCTTTTAAAAATTATCATAGATTAAAAGCATCTTAAGTGATCCTTAACCTTTAAGTAATTCTTAACCTTTAACTTTTGAAAGTAGGAACATCAGTTTCTAAATGTCAATAGTATCCATGGATTTGAGTTTTGTGTCTTAAAATTTTCTAGCACATAAACACCAAATGTATTTATATTTGAATGGTTTAAGCATAAAGACTTCCTAAGTTTCTATTTTTAGTACTCACAAATTTAAGCTGTCTCCAAGCTATGGAACAAAGATAATTATAATGTTTAAGAATCTGCCTGTCATCATATATTCAATTTTATAACAGCAATATTAATTTGTCTTCCCTGGTTTTAAAGTTTTGCCTCAAGCTTTTTATAATTCAATAAAGTACCCAGGTTATATAGAACGACACACCTATTACCTTTTGTATTTAGCATGTTAGTCAGCTTTCAGTCCATGCAACAATATACTTAAGATAAATCAACTTTAAAAGGAGGAAAGATTTATTTTGCCACCTGGTTTCACAAGTTTCCGTCCATGATTGGTTGGCTCCATCACTTTTGGGTCTTCAATAAGGCAGAACATCATGGTGGGAGTATGTGACAAAGGAAATGGCTCGCTTCGTGGCAGGTGAGAAGCCATGAGAAAAAGAGGAAAGGAATGAGATCTCAATATCCTGTGTCCAGGACAGACCCCAATCACCTAGCTTTATTCAAATAGGTCTTGCCTCTTAAAAGTTCCACCTCACCAATACTATGAAGACTTGGACCAAACATTTCAGATCCAAATTATAGAAGTTAGTAAATTCTAGTTCTCAATCAATAGATGCTAATCAATATATAGTTCTATCTATTCTGAATCAACTGAACTATCTAGTCAACTCAATTGAAAAAGCCAGAAATAGTTAGGCAACAACACACACTTAAATCCCTAACTATGACACCTAACTTTACACAAGACATTCCATATGATAAGTATACATCTTACCTAGGTATCATCAAAACACATGAAATTAATTACAAGGAGTTACAGAAAGAAAGGGAAATTAATCTTTGTAATTAATTTTTATGGAGAGACCCATGGAAATCCTTCTATTTTGACATGGTATCAGAATTTCCCTAAGCAACAGGGAAAGTCCTTGGACTATAACAACTCAGAAAAGAATAAAAAGCTTTGAGTGGATGGAAACTTTAATCATTGGCCCTTATTTTAATCTTTTAGAGTCTAAACAGTTTTCTCAGAAAGGGAGGGTTGAGAATGATGGCCAAGCTTTGGCTCTGAGTGGCTCTGCCATAAGGGGATGGTGTTTCTTCCCCAAACTTTCTAGGTTCTGACAAGCTCTCTGTGGTTTTATGATGCATGACTTGAGAAAGGTAATGGAGTGAGAGAAGGGGTGGCGTTGTCCAACAATGAATGTACTCTTTATCTCACTTGTGTAACTGTAACCCCTCTGTACATCACCTTTATAAAAACAATTTAAAATATTTTTAAAAAGAATATGCACAGCATTATCCCAAAAAGAAATGTATTTGTGCCAGGTACTGGTGACTCACATCTGTAATCCTAGCTACTCAGGAGGCTAATATATGAGGATCACGGTTTGTAGCCAGCTTGGGCAGGAAAGTCTATGAAACTCTTATCTCCAATTAATCACAGAAAAAAAATGGAAATGGAGCTGTGGTTTAAGTGGTAGAGAGCTAGACTTGAACAAAAAAGAAGCTCAGAGACAGCGCACAGGCCCCAAGTTCATGCCCCAGGACTGGCAAAAGAAAAAGAAAAGAGAGAGAGAGAGAGACAGAAAGACAGAGATACAGAGATACAGAGAGAGAGATGGAGAGATGAGAGACAGACAGAGAGACAGAAAGTACGAAGGAAAGGAAGAAAGAAAGAAAGAAAGAAAAGAAGGAAGGAAGGAAGGAAGGAAGGAAGGAAGGAAGGAAGGAAGGAAGGAAGGAAGGAAGGAAGGAAGGAAGGAAGCTTGCAAGCAAGCAAGGAAGGAAGGAAGCAAGGAAGGAAATGTACTCATTATCTGATCTGTGTAACTGTATGCCCTCTGTGCATCACCTTTATGATAACAATTTTTAAAAAATTAAAGAGAGGTAATAGATAAAACTTAGCATTCTTTGCAACAAGACTTATGCTTTGGAAACCTATCAGCTCCAGAAAAATGCTTTTTGTTGTCCTCTTCAGACCTATACAGTAAAACAAAAACTTGCACTGGGATGTGTGGATGTGTGGCATGTGAGGTGGTCTAGTTATATAACTCTCTTGTGTGCTTTGTTCCATCTATAGATTATAAACTCTTCCAGGACAGAAAGAAGTTATAGTATTTCTTTCTAAAATAGCATACACGGTGGATATCCAGTAAAGATACTTAATGGAAGTTGAATAAGGGTCATCACAATGTGTAAAGTACATATAAGATATTATCAAGAGTTTTGTTTTAAAAGAAGTCATTTTACAGTCTAGAAAATAGGATAAAAATTTATGAAAATTCCTCCCAAATGCATTTTTAACCACCCATAAAACTCCATTTTACTTTTTAGAAAATTTATTTGTTCTAGTTGTGTGAATCTTGTCAACTTTCTCACAATTTTGAATTTCAGAACCCAAGAGGCTTATAAACAAAAAATTAATGGCTTTGTTTTATAGAACTTGTGCATGGAGTGTTTCCATGTGATGTGCCTATTAACATCTAATTATATAAACCTGCTTTGTTCTATTAGCATCAAACTGGCTCCAGAACACAAAGGTGGTTAGAGATGTGCTTCAATGCTAGCCCATGTTCTTCCCTCAAGAAATGGCTCTTGGTTTTAATGAGATGAGTAGGCTTCCCAGATGCCAATGTACATGGCAGAGGTTAGTGTATAAGGTAAGACAGTGTGTAGAATTGAAAACTGACTGCATATCCCTGAGAAACCAGGAGAAAGAATGATTTAGTAGTATAGTATGTGTACCTGGCACTATAGTTGGATCTGGGAATACAAATGTGAATGAGACAAAATCTCTCTTTCTTTCTATGGAGCTTAAAGTTAAGTGTCACTGTTCTTTTGGGGGTTGTTCCGGTCATAGGGCCTGAACTCTGGGCCTGGGCACTGTCCATCAGCTCTTCAGCTCAAGGCTAGCGCTCTACCACTTGAGCCATAGTGCCACTTCTGGCTTTTTTTTCTGGTTATGTGGTGCTGAGGAATCGAACTCAGGGCCTCATGCATGCAAGGCAAGCGCTCTACCACTGAGCCACCTTCCCAGCCCCGGTGTCACCGTTCTGAATTCAGCTCTACATAATACTAACCTGGAAAAGGTTTTAGCGTTTAGGTCTTATCCAAACCAATTAAAACCAAAATCTCTAGAGACCACATTGAGAAATCAGATTTTTCCCCCCAAGTTCTCAGCACAAAAATCTTATTTAGAAGAGAAGAGAAAAGAATACAATGGGATAACAGTACAAAGAAATAAATGCCATGATGGTGAGGGCCTAGTTTACAGGATCGAGGGCTTGCATAGCAAATTCCTGGCTCTAAGTTTCAACCCGAGTGCTGGGGAAGAAGAAAGGGAAGAAGGGGAGCATGCTGGAATTTAAAAAGTTCCCCTCAAACAAGCCTTCACGTGTTTAAAAAAAAAAAAAAAACTTTCTAAGATGAAGGACCATCTGGTTGGAGTTCTGCAGAACAGTAGTCCACATATAAAGTAGGAAACATAGAGGAAATAAAATGTGTAAAAACCTGAGGAGGAAAACAGCACTACCCAAACTTCAGTATGCAAATGACTTGCCTAACAATCTTGTTAAAATGCTGGTTCTGATTCAGTAAGTCTGGGATAGAGCTCGATTCTGCATT